ACTGCAATGCGTAAATGTTAGCCTACATTTTACAATATAAAGTATATTATATAGAGCAAAAAGTTACGTATAAAATGCCAATGTATTTATGTACAAAACATTACATTACTGAAACTTTAGCACAACATTAGTAACTGTTCTAGTAAAACAGTCGATATCGCACACACACACACACATCTTTCACATTATTCTCGAATGGACATCACAACATTTTGCCTGCACAAATGTTGAAATACGGTTCTATAAATATCTTAGAAACATTTAAACTCCACCAAGTGATGCGACGTTTAAAATCTTCGCTCGAGTCGCGTTGTTTGTTGGAAGGGTGCTGGCCAAGTTGTACACTTTTTGCAGAGACCACTGCAATACGCGTCGGCGAATAGACACAGAGATATATTATGGGTATGCATGTAAGATGCATTCGGCGGGTTCTCAAGAGATTACAATGACAAATGCATTTCAGGCATTATGTCTGGTGAGATCGTTTTCACTGCTCACGCCAATCGTTCACCATCAGTCATTAAATGCGCGTCGTTTATCAGTCACCCATCAGAACGCAATCCTTTACCGTCGCAATAATCTGCGCGTCGTCAATAATCATCGAGTCTCTCCTCTTGCCAAATGTGCCCAGTGCTGTACCGAAGGCCCAACGCACGCCGCACACAAATTCGCAAATCAACATCTGCCATTAGTTCTGATCTTAGGAGGGGAAACCCTGTCTGGTAAGGTGAATTCAAAATGTGATGATGATGATTTTTTACCCTAACCCCCAACAGGCTCTTTGAATGACGGCTGCGACCACCTTCTGGCACGTCGTCGCGGTTTAGCGTCCACTAAACCACGTGATTTTCAGGTAGTGGGGGGGGGGGCAACCCCTCCAGCAATGAAAAATTATAGAGGAGTTGTTAGTAAGTAAGGACTTGCCCCTTGCTTTTTATTTGACGCGTGTGTGATCGGCATCGCGCTTGCAACTTGCGCACAATTCTGAGTCACTTATAACTGCTTTGCCGTTACTTGTTGCCAATTGTGGACTCAGACTATTGTCCTATCATCTCATAGAGTCCCTGGCACATAATAATATGCTACACAGTGGCAGTGGGGGTCGCAAAATGCCGATTTATTACTAATAAACCCCAATGATCAGATCGAAATTAGGCAATTCGATCACGATCATTGGGGGGGGGGGGGGGGCACGTGCCATCCCAACCCCCCACTGTCTCCGCCAGTGCTGACGTGACGGCTGCTCTGGAGACAGCAGGGTCATTTGGCCCTCTGTAATTCTATTGCCGAAGGAGGTTCTCGCGCGAGCGGAACTTTATCGCGAGGTTTCTTGTTGGAAGCACCGAGCCATCGTCGCCAAACGTTCCCATCGCCGCGAATTTCGCTCTCGACAAATCGTTCGTCGGCGGATGTCGGCTTTATGTCAACGTCAGAGCCACGTCTGAGCGCATGCCCTTTCCTCGCGGCTGTTATCGAAATGTGTATCAACGCTTGTGTGGTGCAAAGCCACTTACTAAAGTCACGCATTTCCACGTTGGTGATCTTTAGGCTCAAACGCGCGTTGGGAAACGCCAATGGTTGGTTACGGATCGTCTTGAATTGCGTCTGTAAATTCCACCGAGTGTTTACGTGTCACCAACCCTTTCAGGATTTTTACAAAAAAAAACACTGCATAAGCCGAAGCGTTTATATAGAACTGCTTTTTGTGTTTAGTTTGTTGTCCTTCCCCCGCACCTCCGATAAACACGGTTGGCTACGTACGGTGCGAAAGAAGTTCAACATATATGAGCAAATGAAGTTATTTGACATGATCTGCATTCCTGACTACCCTAAGTTCCTTATGCCTGTTCATTGATTAGATGTTTAACGAGTGACCAGAAATTGTGCTTCAGTAACTACAGTTTGACACAGTACCCACAAGAGTATTGATCCTATGAGGTTCTAGCTCACTTGGATACCTATTTCCTTTTTGCAAATATCATCATCAGCCATTGTCTATTCACTGCACGATAGAGGCCTTCACCATTCCATGCCTTCCCTCTCGGTCCTGCTATGCAACAGTCCATCTCGCTCCTGCCCAGGCTCCCACGATCCCATCACTCAGTCTCTGCGGTGATTATCCTCTCGTTCGCCATTTTCTTCCTTTGTCTTGTCCAGTGGTTGGCCATCGTCCTCGTGTCGATGTGTTCCGCCTGAGCCCACGTTTCTTACCAGCTGACGTGATGCCTCTGATTTGTGCTTGTTCCCTGTCGCATGTGCTCCTTTTTGCAAATGCATTTGCCGAGCACAAAATGCCCCACTTCAGTAGAAATATTAATATCAGAAAAATGTGCTTTTAGAGTCTCAATGAGCTATGCATAGCCCACCAGATCCTTAGTAACCTCCTCTCACCAGCTATGGTACCAAATTGCGTTCAAGCCTAGTCGCAGGCGATCTCATCTTGGCATCGTTTAGTTTCAGTAGTTCTCCTGACAATGACCTTTGCCTGGATGAGAGTCACTCTCAATAAGTTCAATCTCACAGTGGAATTAAGGTGACAGAAGAATGGACCGGCATGGACATGGGAGTCTTAACTAGAGCATGGATAATTCTTCAATTACGCCGATTGACAAGAAAAAAGACATATACAGTGACGCCTCTACTTACGAAAATTCGACTTACGAACTTTCAGAGATACGAACTTGTCCGTATGTAGAGTTGCCTGTTCGGACCGAGAGTCGTAAGTTCAACCGCTGCGCAATAGATGGCGGTGGTGGCATCTACATCTGCAGGACATGAAGAACCAGTGGCACCTACATCTACAGGAGATTATACAACTTTTAAAGCCATTCCCCGTGTTTAGTGTACATGCCATACGACATGTTTGGAATCGACAGGGGTAAAGTTGGACTTACAAACAGAGCCCTGGAACGTAACTCGTTCGTAAGTAGAGGAGTCCCTTTACTGTAGTATATACTGTAGTTTAGTAGTGTATAATGTAGTATAGTAGTGTATAATGTATAGTAGTACTGTACATGCCGTACAACACGTTTGGCATTGACAGGAGTAAAGTTGGACTCACGAACAAATCGACTTACGAACAGACGTCTGGAACCCAACTCGTTCGTAAGTAGAGGAGTCCCTGTAATCTATTTTTCGTGGTCGATTGCTCAGGCCTCTTAGAAATCATAGCCGCTCCGACATCACCCTGCCTCCTGAATGCGGGAAACCCCCTACCACGCCCAGCGTTGTAACGTGGCTGGTGATGCCAGAGATATCATCCAAGCCCTGCCCATCGCCTCCCGTACAGAGGGTACCGCTTGGAAACTAATTGTTTCCAATTGGTCAAACAATCGAACCGATAATCAATAGAGCAATCGATTACTGCACTTAAATAATCGGAGAGCGCAACTCATGTGTGGACCTTCTCCCAACTCCAAAGGTGTGGAATCTCTTCCTTACAGTCCTTACTAAGCGCCAAATAGGACTTTCATATAGCTTTGGCAGGCAACCAATGATTAACAAAAACATCATAATCAAGTAGTCATGTGAACAATATTTAGTCCGCCTTTCCACTGTGACTAAGCGCTCTGAAATTAAGACAAAGAGTGCTGCTATGTTGTAAATACAAGGTGATCCATGTATAAATACCCCACTTAAGTAATCAGAAATTATAGAGCAAGCGAAGTCTATATTTAAAACACCCCTCTGTAGAGTATTGAACCTTCACAATATAATTTAGATAATCACCAATAATAACACTGGTCAACACACTTTTTCTGGCATAAGGTATTCCAACGGTTTTAATGTAATTTTGGGGTGCTGATTCCAAATCTGGCATCAGTTTTTGTCTATCACATTAGGTTTTTGAGATATCAAATATTGCATTTTCAATAAAAACTGCAGAAGAAAAATATTAAATAAATGCGGATATCTACATCAAATGATATTATAAACACACTATCCTAAAAATACAGCACCATATTTTAACAATAAAGCAGTCACTGACTCGCAACAACTTGCAATCATAAGTGACAGAGTTAATTTCGGGTAAAATCAATGAAAATGGGGTATGCCAATAGCATTAAAATGATGTTATAGAGCAAATCTGAGATCAGATTTGGAATCAGCACCCTGAAATTAGTCTAAAACAGCTGCAAAAGTCCAGGCCAGAAAAAAAAGTTTTTTTCTTGTTGACCAGTGTATAATCAGTGGGGTACCGATAAAATGGGTCAGCCTGAATTCTCCCTCTGGTACACGATTAGAGCGGCTAAGATGCCTTGCAGCAACGGATAAATGTCAGACACAGGCCGCGGGCCAAACGAAACGAAGCGGCAGGCCGTATCTGGCCCCCCGTGTGGGTGAAGCGTCGCCAACATGACTGCCCCCCTCTTCTGCTTTTCACCCGCACGTGAAGAGGCGGCCGTCTGCGCTAGCCACGCGCGTGACGTTCGACCGTCACATCTAACGCAGGAAAAAATGCGCGATATACCTCGGTCAGGACACGTGGCACCTCGCGTTGTGGGCTAACTACCCGCGTCATAACGCGAAATATAATGCGCGTTAATTTTTTTTTTGCTGCCAAATTTTGCAATTTCGTGACCGTTGGAGTCGAGAGGGCCGGGGGTGGTGGCTGACGGCTCTCCGCTGCCGGACTGCGTACACGCGACCAATGAAGTGGGGAGGGCAGGTGGCGGAGGCTGGATCGGCCTCTGGACACCTGGGGCTGCACCGTTGGCGAGGCACACTACCCGGTTGCCAAGAAGCTGATCTACCTGATCAACAAATCATCTTAATTGTCATCTTCTTGCATCCATCCTCGTGCCTCCTTTGTTGTTGTTTTTTAGGAAATTTTTTAATAACCGGCGAAGGCCCACGATTTGCCCCCCGCGCTAAATCTGACTCCGTGGTGTAACGAGCCGCGCTTTATCGTGGGGCTTTTATTGTACTCGTGTGCCAGTGCAGTGCCACCGACACTGTGTCAGTGACGGAGCCGGCCTAGGATCAGTGGGCACCTACGGCTCACGCTGTGGCAAGAACCACTGCCGAGTCCGTGTGTGTGTGTGTGTTTGTTTTTGTACCGACAGGATATTGCACTACATTACCGTATACATTTTTAATGCCATTTTCTTTTTAAAAAAAGGTCAGTGTTAAGAAAATTGATTTTTCAGGGAGGCACATTTATAGAGGTCATTTGCTACCCCCGATGCTGTAAAAATCGCAGTGACAGCAAGTGTGGATTTGTGCACGCCTGTGTGCGGGCTTTTATATAACTGCACTCTCTTCACGCTTGGAGTTCTGTATAAAACCAATTTGTATTGCATTTGATAGGCGTGTCGTCTACCAGATGCAATCATATAGGCGGCACCAAAAACTAGTGACAATATTTCTAATGTCATTTTTGTTTAAGTTTGATTCAGAGTAAAAAGTAAAGTAACATACAAATCGTTACCAAACTATACATTGCTGTTAGTGGTAGCACAAATGTAAGGAAAACAATACCCATGTTGGGCACCTGATGGCCTGAATGATTTTTGTTATGAAGTGGTGGTCCTGGAAAAACTCGATAACGCACGTTTGTCTTTATCAAGATAACTTGTCACGGCTTCATTGACACACAACCATTAACATGTGGTCATTTTGTATTTGTATGGCCACGCAAATTAACTTCACTTCATCTTCCTACGATCACTAAAACACTACTTGCAGGACAACAAAGCTTTCCCGTGAATTGGCACGGTTTTTTTTCAAGACGCCGCTTATTTCTTCCACAGTTGTTGTTTTTTGTGTCTCTGAACGAACCTCTCCCGTTAACTGAACCTCTGCGCAACTCATTTGCTGCTCCAATGCTTCCGTTCATCACACCACTACAACAGAGTTCAGAATGAGGGTTAGCACAGGGCATCGTTAAACTCATCAGAACTGCACCTGCGGAATTTCTGAACCGCAAACTCCTGTGTCGGCGAAGGTGAAATTGCTTCACTCTGCACCCAGCTGATCTCAAATCGTCGCGGAGATGATCAAAAATATGCCGGACTGCTTTTCGACAATTTGTGGTAGCGGGCTCGCATGTTTACGCTCCCCCGCGGCTCATTCCATCGCTCTCGAAGTGGGCGAACGCCTAAAACATCTCCAAGTGCGTACTCGGGGTTAAACAAAAAAAAACCACGGGGAAACGTTTTGAACTCGAACTCGCGAAGCTTAAACAGCGAGCGGCATGCAAAGCAACGCCGGTGCGTCGTTTGGTCTCCACGCAGCGCCGGGCAGTACCTCCATCACCGCAATGTGTTCCATTTACTTTAGTTGTGTACTGAACTGCACTGTGCTGGGAGCAGTGCAGTGCAGTACTGCTCTTCCACACCCTCCAGACCAGGTCAGGATTTTGTTAATATTATTACTTTTAAAAGTGATGGCATATCTTGATAATTGTATACGGTTTGTGTTTTTGCTCCGATGTTATTTGTTTATCGCTTAAAAAAATAAAATTCCAAAAGTTGATCTTCATGGAAACAACCGCGGTTTTGTTAATAAAATGGATACACTGCAGCATCAGTTTGCCACCTCTGAACTTAAATAAAAAAAGTGGGACATGAGAAAAATATCTAAGAAATAAGGGAAAGATGGGATATTACATGTCAATCTATTGTCTTGAGCAGTGTATTATTAGGCAAGTGACAAAAAACAAGATTTTGAATATCCTGGCAAACCAAATTTTACAACCCTACAACAACAAAAAGGGCAATCCTGTGAAGACCAGAACTGATGGCAACCTTTGTAACCGGGGGGGATGCCACCACTTCACTCCCTTGAATCACTCCGCTATTTTTTTTGAGGACACGCCGTTTTTAGGCGGGCAGTGGATGGAGGTACTCTGGAAATCAAAATCAAAGTAAACTCCGCCACTTGCGGCTCGTTCGTGCTGTGCTTCGTGCCTGGCGACAGGGGGCCCTCAAAGCGACGAGGTCGTGGAGTCGATCACCTCCTTTCCGTTGCACACGGTAGGCACCCCTCGGCAGGGGACTTGGCCTGCGGCGCACACAAAGACAAAGATCCCCCGTGCGGCGCTGAACAGAATGTTCGGGCGAGTGCTGCGAGTCGAGCGCCTATGCACGTGCAGTGTATGTTGGAGTTAAAAAAGGACAAGTATAACCCGTAAAAACAAAGTTTTTCACTATAAATCCTTTATTTGCGTGGCGGCTATAGTCCTCTCGTCCTCTGGCTTGAGATGGCTGCCACCTATGGGTCAGATGATTGCATGGCAGCATTAAGCAATTGGTAATTAAATATAATATTAATTGTCACGCACAACGAGTCTGTGTGGAAAATGTCAGCTCGATTGGATCACGGGAAGTGGGTTAAAAAACGACCGAAAGATTTGCACGGTCCTAAGCAAGCAAGTGAACTTAATATAAAGGATTTAAAAACGAAAACAAATCAATTAAATGACGACGTTTCGGAGGCAACGCCTGGAGCTTTGTGATGTAGATGGCGGAAGTAGATAAGCAAGCTAGGTTTCATATTCTTAGGTTTTTTCGGTAAAGTCACGTAGGTAAAAAAATAAAAGTAAAATTAATAAAAGTAAAATAAATAAAATAAAAATCACGACGTTTCGGAGGCAACACAAGCTTCCGTCTTCAGGTGGAACCGTCACAGCACGATAGCTGTATCAAGTAAGATAAATTCCAAGAAAGCAGTCCTTGTATATATACTGGTTGAGGGTGGGAGGAGCCAAGGTAGGCCCTGGATATTCCACCTGAAGACGGAAGCTTGTGTTGCCTCCGAAACGTCGTGATTTTTATTTTACTTGTATTAATTATAATTGTATTTTCTTACCTACGTGACTTTACCGAAAAACCTAAGAATATGAATCCTTGCAGTCACGAAAGCTTCAAATCTAGAAGCAAGCTAGGATTAAGCCGCCTTTTATTATGCACGCCCGTGGGTTGCTGGCAAGCAGTGTGTGAAACGCTAAACAAGCTACTATGGCTGTACAATTATAAGGCGGCTAAAGTTTGGCTTGGTTGATGACATCTTTCCAATGATTGCTTAATTTAAAACCATCCTCTCGGTTGAAGTTGTGTCTATGTTTGTATATCTGGATGGCTTCATGGACAAATCTTTGGTAGTAGTGAGAAAATATAAAAAAAACCCCAAAGAGTATGGATCCTTGCAGTCACGAAAGCTTCAAATCTAGAATATGTTGGAGTTCTTTCGAGCCGGACGTAGCCAATCGTGCTAATCGAGGGGTGCTTTCACACCTGATGAGGCAGAGCTGGGGCTACTACGGACAGTCAGTGCAAATACACAACAACAGTGTGAGAAAACATAGAGCTCACAAAACACAACTTCATAAACTCCCCGTCGATATTTTTCTCGTCTCTTTTTCTTGCCAAGTTTATTGTTGCAACCAGTTTATGGATCACTTTAGAATGGGGGGGGGGGCAGGGTTGGGGGGGGGCACATTTTGTCAATGTTGCTGCTACCTTTGAAATTCCAAGCTTTCATGCGAGCATGTTTATAGACACGCATTGTTTCATACTTTCTGCAAAACTTTTAAACCATTCGTCAGTGATGTTCTGCCCTGTCTCTCCCATCTTTCGTTTTGTAAAGCGTCTTGAAATTGAAATTACATTCGGATGCTATGAAAAAAAATGAATTGTTGTGCTTATTTGTTTAAAAAAATTCAATGGCGAAAAGCTGTTGCATGGCTAAGGGCTTTAAATTGGAATTTGTTTCTGCCTTACACTTATAATTCAGTGTAACGCATGTGCGTGTTCGAGTCAATTTCATCACAGCAGTTATAATAAATGGACAGCCTATTCTCAATCCACTGCTAGATGACTGCCTCCCCATGCAATGTCCGTCATGGTGGGAGCTGTTTGACCATACTTCACCACGCTGGTTACTGTCAATTGGTGAAGAAGTGAGCGCACAGGCAGGACTGGTTCAGATGTCACTCGCCTACTGCAGATAGCCCTGGGGCCTGGATTTGAACTCAGGTCACCGGGTTCACATTGCAGCGTGCAACCTGTTGCACCACTTCTCCAACCCCTGTGCAACCGTACACGATTTAATAATCCTCCCCCCCCCCCCCCACAAACATCCTGCCTATAAAACAAATGCTCGTTGTTTACAGCTCGTGCGCTGGTTCACAATCATGACTCTCGATTCTCGGAGGCCGCCGAGGTTTTTTGCGTCGGTTGGCACAGGAAGGGCGGCAGTGAGACAAGATGCCACCGGTACCATTGTCAGCACGGCCAGCGCAGTTCGCACCCACTCAGGTGCAGCCACCCCCGTGGGCTTGGTTCTCTCTCGGAGAACTTGGGGTGCATGGGCAACAAGCGGCTTCAACTGCGACCCGGCAGAGCCTTCCCAAGTTCATAATATTTCTGCTCGGCCCGAATTTCTAACGCGGAATGTCGAGGCGAGCCTGCGAAGCAAAGTTGTCACGGGAGAATTCGGTCCCCTTTCTGTCCTGAATTTGCAGCCGAAACTAAACTCAACTTTTTGGTTTTATTTACCAGGTAAGGCCCACTGTGCAACATAGGCTCTTTTATTTAACTATGTTTGTCTGTTGTTGTTGTCGTTGTCGTATCCTCAAAATTTGTAGCTCAATTTTAACCCACTTCCCAATGTGGCATCGACTGCAAACTTGGTATACTTATGTCATACTGATGACAATACTATATTCTATCATAAAAAATAAAAAACATATTTTTAAGCATTATTTTTTATATGTTACGTTTCGGCTTGGGTTTAATTATTCTACGGTCAACTGACGATGGCTGTAAATGACCAAGGCCTCTTACGTTGTGGCAAGCTTCGGGGCCACTCCTGGAGTCGTGGAGTTCTGTCATTACTAGTACATTTCATAAAAGCGTGTTTATATAAAAAAAAGTTTGTTTTAATATTACTTATTCAGAAGCGACCTCGCCACAAATGGACATGACTGCAAGGTGTTGTGGGCTACACTCCAGTCCTGCGGTTTCACAGAAACGCGTAATATAAGAGCCGTCCCCTCACAGCAAGTGGCCGGACCTCAGGGTCTGTTCGTCACGGGTGGCCGTAACAGAGATTCGTCATTGCGTGCGTGTAGGACGGGCTGAAAAACAGCCACCTTTTTCCTTGCGAGCGTTGCCACCGCTGCGGCAATGTCCGATGGCTTCAAGAGACACTGGAGCTTTGTGCTAATTGAATCACGCCCGCACGTTCGTGACGTTCTTAAGGGTGGCGCGTGCAGCTATGCGTGGTATTAAAATAGTGCGCGGGTCATTTCCTCTGCAGCAACTGTGACGCCTTTGAAGCTGTTTGTTGACTTGAGCTTCAACGGACGTCACTTCCTCATTAAGAGGCACGCGCTTGTGATTACAGGGACGCGAGAATGTGAGCTAACTCGAAAAAAATAATCGTACGAAATGCGCTCGGTGTAGGGGACCCGGCACAAGATTCATGAGCCACACACAAACGCTCATCTCGTGTGGCAGGGGGCCGTCCATAAATGACGTCACGCGATTTTGGACGATTTTTGACCACCCCCCCCCCTTCATCACACGGCGTCACAAAAAGTCAGACCCCCCCCCTCAAATATGACGTCACAAAGCTCTGCCCCCCTCCCCCCAAAATAAAACATGCTTCAAATCGCTTTAAACCATTGTCATCGTAGTGCGTATTTAATGTGGCTGCTGCACTCTGATGTTGTAGGAGAAAACATTTATTAAAAAGTCTATTTAACTAAGTAGAACGTGTTGTCTATATTTATTTAAAGTTGCGCATTTTGATGTGACGTCACATTTCTCAACCCCCCCCCCCCACCCTTCGTCACGCATCGTCACAAATGTCTGACTACCCCCTTCCCCCCAGGTGCGTGACGTCATTTATGGACGGCCCCCAGCCTCCACAGGTGAAGACTTCGTCATTCAGAATTTAGCCAGGTAGGAGCAATCAATTTAGCGCGGGCCACGTGAATTTTATTTCATCGAGCCGCAGCGGGACTTTTAACAGGACACCAGGATTAACTGTCGGCTCTATTACCAAGCACAATGAGATTATGAATGTCCAACGAGCAGACTGGTAATTTAGTTTATTATCAATTCTAAGTGCCACTACTACCTTGCACGGCACGATGTCGCTTGGCACTGTGCTATGATAACGGATTATTTGTCTCGAAAGATACATCTCGACGGATCAGCAGCACAACCTTGCGCTCGGAACCAGGATTGAGGGATGTTGTTTTAGCTTACACATCCAGCAATGACAAAGCCCGGCTTCAGCTTTCTGCAATCAGATCGTTTTTGAAACGTTTTGCCCTTTGCCAGCGTCGATTAATGTCCAAGGTCCAGATTGATTATATTTATACGATTTGAGAAGCAGTGAGTTTCGTGATGCAGAGCCACAGTAGGCTGCCTTTATTTTTATATTCTTGGTTCTTTCGGTAAAGTCACGTAGAAGGGAAATAATAAAATAATAAAAATATAAAACAATAAAAATTCTCACGACGTTTCGACTGCAACACAAGCAATTATCATCAGGTGTGGATTTCACATAATCAGGTGTGGATTTCACACCTGACGATGACTGCTTGTGTTGCAGTCAAAACGTCGTGAGGGTTTTTATTGTTTTATATTGTTTTATTATTATTTCCCTTCTACGTGACTTTACCGAAAGAACCAATAATATTAATCTCTGCAGTTACGAAAGCTTTAAATCAATAATTTAACTGCTTTTATTTTGTCGGGAAAGTCGGTCAAATTGGTTAGGAGAGTCAAATAATGCGCGGCTCATTGGATTATTTCTCCCCTCCCCCCCCCCCAAAAGGAACGGCTAGTGTCATTTAAAAAATGCAGCCGAGTTGCTCTGTGATGCAGAGATTTTCTATGACCAGCCAGCAGCACTAATTGACATTAAACGACTGCAATAAGCAATGAGGCCAAAGCATTTTCCTTCCACTCAGCGTCCGATCCTTACATGCCTTTGCTCTGCCTCTGTGACTCAAAGAGAAAAAATCAAATCAACCTGATCTTGGGGGCGATGGGGGGGGGGGGGGGGGGCTTCACTTCACGTTGACAGGCTCCTCAGGCCAATCGCGTACGGCACCCGTTCGAGACGGGCAGAGCGTGGCAGCAATCTCCCGCCCTCAAATGTCAATCCAAACGGAAACCCCCGCTGACACAATCTCCCAGACGAGCTCTCCCCAGTCCGTCGCTCTCGCCGGCCGGCTGTCAGTCAGCTGCAGCGGAGGGCTTGTGGCTTACAGCCAGCCAGGCACCCTGTGTGAAAAGCATAGCCCCACCACCTGCCACGCGTTGTTGTATAGCGCGGGGCGTCGCACTGCCGCTGTTCCGTACGTTGACACTGCTCTGCACTCCTCTGCGATGGTTCGACGTGACGGTTCCACTTGACGATAACATTGGGGGAAATTCCATTTTGATAAAAATACAAATTAAAATAATCCACGAAGAGCCAATTCTTCCTTCTAGATTTGAAGTTTTCGTGACTGCAGGGATCCATACTCTTTGGTTCTGTCGGTAAAGTCACGTAGGTATAAAATAATTATTCTTCTGTCGTACAGCAGGAGGGGGGGAAAGGAACAGTTTTGAAATGCTAAGTTTTTTAAACCATTTCGATTTAAAGCTTTCGTGACTGCAGGGATTCATCTTCTTGGTTCTTTCCGTAAAGTCATTCAGACGCTGTCTTTCCGACAGCCCTGTTCTTCACCTGAGGACGGCTGCTTGCGTTGTGGCCGAAACGTCGTGAGAATTGTATTTTATGATGTTTTATTTTTATTATTTGATTATTTCCCTTCTACGTGACTTTACCGAAAGAACCAAGAAGATTTTTTAAACCAGCCCAAGGAGGCAGCAGACGCTGCGTGGATCGCAGCGGCACCGCTAGGACGTTGCACGGATGGCGCCTTCGCCGGCGACGCGTTTTGACGCTTTGGATCTCACCACCGTCACAGGTCGGTGAACCTGTGCGTTCGAGCGCGAGGTCCAGGGTCGTCGTGTGAGAGAGATGCTCGCTGCCTCCACGGTCGGGTCCTCGACGAGGCATTTATTGCCACCTCCATAACCGCCCACGATTCGTCCAGCGAGTGCCGATGTCGGTATTTTATTTTCGGCTGCCGGAGCAAGAGGTGCGTGTCCAGAGAGAGCTTCCAGGATTTCAGCCTCTGGTGTGGGGTGTTCTTTCCTGTCTTGTTGATGAAAACCAACGGACTCCATCCATGCATGGGCGGGGAACCGAAGGCTCATGGGATGGCCATGGCTTGCGACCTCACTTCATGCGGCCTTCTGCCACGTGACACCTACCACTTTGTAACAGCTCGCAAACGATATCCGTCCATCGTCGCAAGCTTCGTAGCCACACTAATCTGGTTCCAGAGGGAAATATTTTCGACATGGCAACAACACTGATTGGAATTTTGGCACGCTTGAGGCCCTTGCACTCACTGCAAGGGCCTCTTGCTCACGACTTCACTGCAAGGGCCTCTTGCAGTGACAGAAGTGGCTGAGCTGTGTCTGTCCCCCAGTAACGCCTTAACAGACTGTTTGGGCAAGTGCTGTTAGCGAGTATCACCTATGAAGGTTGGCACGGCACACGAGGGGGTGGCTGGCCAACACTATGCCTGGCCGCCTTTGTCTCCCCAGTACTGATGTTTACACATCGCCCCAGATACTCGTTTGAGGCTGAGTCGACCTAGGGGAGGTCCAGGACCGATTATGTTAATAGTCACTGGTGTTGTTGGCCGTGAGTGGGAATTGAACTCGGGTCGCCGGGTTCGTAGCGCAGCGCGCTTCCCGCTACACGACCGCATTGTAGACAATACACACACATATCAGAAAACAATTATTTGAAACCAAAAAATATGCTCTGATCTCATCTTATTTTGGGCCCTTCATTCGAGATATTCACATGCTGTCTGAAAACAAAATGTCTTTAGTATAGAATCGATGATTTGTGGATGCACTAATAATATATCTGGGGAAGCAGTTACATATATGTCAATCCATACGGTTTAGCCCGTATTCTTGTACAGGGAAATTGAGTTTTCAGGTCCATACGGCGCACAGCCATTTCGATACGGGCAAACACATTTTTGCCTATTTGTTTGTGTTTCTCCCTTGTAATGGGACTTTGTAGGATGAACGTTGAGATTTATAAGGGCACCACGGGGTGACCAATACGGTCTGAATTGGTATGTAATAAGACAGGCACTAATACATGGTGTTGACAGGCATGCTATTATGTAACTTTGGTGCCAAAACTCTTAAGCACACAGTGGCGGCGGTGGCGGCGGTGGCTGTGGTGACGGCGGTGACTCACTGAATGAGCTGGAGGGGCCGGAGCCCGAGACGCTGAAGCGGTTGGTGACGACGCGGAGGCTCGCCACGTTCTTCTGTGGCTGGAAGAGGATGACGTGAGCCTTGGGGGCGAAGAGGCAGCCAAGCACCACGGAGCCACTCAGGCTCACGGACACGCACATCGTGGTGGTCTGCACCTGCTCAACACACCGCCGTGGGTGAGTGGGTGAATGTGTGGTTACGTGAATGGGTGGGTGGGTGGATGGATGGGTAGGTGAATGGGTGGCTAAATAGGTTTGTGAATGGGTGGGTGGATGAATGGGAAGGTGGACGATTGAATTGGGGAGGGGGGCTGGGGGGGTCCGTGGGTGAATGTGTGGTTACGTGAATGGGTGGGTGGGTGGGTGGATGGATGGATGGGCAGGTGGGCAAGTGGGTAGATGGATGGGTGGGTTGGTGGATGAATGGGTGGGTGGCCAATGTGAGTGGCTTACCCAGGGCAGGAGAGAGAATGAAATTGGGGGAAAGCTGGTCGAAAGTACATGGCGTGATCAGAGTGGTTTATTTGTTACCACAAAGCTTATATTAATAATAATCCAAATAATTACCTTTATGTTCCCACGAAAACTCACGGAATTTGTAATGTTTGGCCATTTCTGTGAATATTTAGTTTTGTTGGTATAAACCAGAGGACATGGAGAAAACTCACTGTGCATACAAAAAGGTGACACTCAAAAGCTCCGTACAGATAGATTTAAGATTCCACTGCTGCACTTCCATCTCTTGGCCATCTCCCAGCCAAGGTGACAACACCGGGTGTTCCCAAGCACTCTGCTGTCCGGACACTTTCCAGGCTCAATTCCTGATTAACGTCCGAGCGTTGACATGATCGGGTGCGTTCAGGGTGGGCCGGTCTTACGCTCGGTAGTTGCGTCTCTTTTCAGCCCAAGTGGTGATGAAATATGCAAGTGACTTCTGCCAAGTAAAAAAAGAAACTGTTCATTATTTACCTATTATCAATTTTTGGTGCGATCTTTTTTGGTTCAATTCGTTTTGCGCGGCAGGGTTGAGCAGCCTGCATCGTGCTTGGATGGGCGACAACCAAACACCATCAGGAAAAGTGTGATGACGACCGCTTGTGTTGCGATCGAAACGTCGTAGTTTTTTGTTGTTATATTTTTCTTAACCTATCTACGTAATAATAGGGCTTTTGGCAACAAAACTGAAACCTTAACCACAATATTTGCAGTCAAAATGCAAACAAAAAACACACTATGATAATATATGCATTGTCCTTGAAACTCATTGATCTATCTACGTCACTTTACCGAAAGACCCAAAGAATATGAATTCCTGCAGTGACAAAAGCTTTAAGTCAAGATTTAAGCAAAAAAGAGGTTTTGGCTGCTGAGCGGGGATACAATGTGGGCCTCGGAGGGCAATGTCACTCTCCAGGCTCGAGCCTGCTTAGCTACCGAGATTCGTCGAGATCCCGAGTAAAATCTGCCACGTGGACAATGATGTACACGTTTGGCAGTGGGCGTAGCCATCGAGTGTGCAGGCAATGCAACTGCTCCACGGCCCGTGGGCAGAATGGGGCCTAGGCGCCAGGGCCCAGGCCAACCGCGATACCCCACAGAGCTAGAAGAAGGGTAAAGGCAAGGGCCGAAGCGACGGAGTTACCCTGTAGTCGCTGGAGGTCACGTAGAATATGGGCAGGAAGGCGAGCCAGATGATGCACGTGGTGTACATGGTGAACCCGATGAACTTGGCCTCGTTGAAGTTCTCGGGGCACTTGCGCGTCTTGAACGCGTAGACGGTGCACAGCACCACCAGGATCACGTCGTAGCCCAGCGAGATGAGCATGCTGGAGTCCTGCACGTTGCACTTGAGCGTCACCACGTTGCGCTTCTCCAGCGACGTGTCCCTGCGGTCGCCGGGCGGCTCCACGACGAGCCACGCGATGATGAAGAGGACCTGGCAGCAGATGAGCGCCATGCAGATGAGCACCTGTGACGCGGGGCTGATGAACTTGAGCCGCTGGGCGCCCTCCTTGACGCTGTTAAAGATGCGCGCGATGCGGTTGGTCTTGGTGAGCAGCGCCGCGTAGCACATGGCGAACGACGTGCCCAGGCCCAGCCGCCGCAGCGTGCACACGGACGGCGACGGCTTGGCGATGAAGAAGAAGGTCATGCTGTAGCACATGAAGACGCCGAAGAGCAGGATGTAGCAGAGCTCGCGGCCCGAGGCCTTCACGATGGGCGTGTCGTTGTGCTTGAAGAAGACGGCGGCCACCAGCAGCGTGCACACGATGCCCAGGCACGAGATGGTGACGGGCACCACGGCCCAGCCGTCCTCCCACTTGATGTACTCTTCCGGGAGGTCGTAGCAGCCCGTCTGGTCGTCGGTGGGCCAGCTGCCCAGCTTGCACTCCAAGCAGGTGAACTCGTCGAACAGGAACTCGTAGGGCTGGCACGGGATGCAGATCCAGCAGCAGTTGTCGGGCTGCATGCTCTTCATCTCGTTCTTGGCGCATGGGTCACTGCACTGCGACACGGGCACGGAGTTTTTGGCCCACTGGATGCGGCTCGTCTCCAGGTGCAGAGCCTCGGCCCAGTAGCCCACCTTGGTGTAGGTGTAGCGCTTGCCCGTCTGCTTGTAGTTGAAGAGGTTGTAGCGGCCGATGCCGTCGCCGAACTTGTCGAAGCGAACCCTCGAGTCGTTGCGGAACGGGGCTGCGTGCGGGAACGAAATGCATATATACGTACGTATGTTGAACCTTTTTCGCACCGTACATAGCCAACCGTGATCATCGCAGGTGCGGGAGGAAGGACAACAAACTGTACACAAAAAAGTGGTTCTCAAGAAATGAATTTTCAATCTAGACGATTTAAAAGTTCATAACTCCAGTGGCTTCCTAATATCGGGAGAGCGTTCCAGACGGCCGCAGAAGCGCATCTTAAAGTGCACGATGCGGTGACCATCTTTGTTTGATGACGAGCCAACAGCCACTGCTGCGAGGATGATCGGAGTTTCCGTAATGGTTTATGCTCCTTGACGAGATCAGCAAGGTGCACTTGTGGTTTATTTGTGGCAAGCATTTTGTGTGTAATGGGTGCTACCTTATAATAGTATGTATGTATGTTGAACCTTTTTCGCACCGTACGTAGCCAACCGTGCTAATCGGACATGGTCCGATCTTGCAGTACTACCCATTATGACACGTGCCAAAGAATGTTGTACACCCTGCAGCTTAGTAATGGAGATGAATTTCAGTGCGTTACAGTTACGGCTTTGCGCGGCGTGATGATCACACGCGCGTGTATCAGGGACGCGTTCCCAGATTTCCATATTGATCTCAAAAATATGAAATCGGGCCGAGATTTAACATTTTGGATGATGCAATTTAAACAAAAAACATGTCGGATTGAGGTCACTGTCGAGGCCTTAAGCCTGCGCTTTTTTTCCCGCCAAAAGTAGTCACGTGGCATCAGCCGATGTCGTGTTTATCAGCACAAAGACACACGTTATATGATCACACGATGTAATTGGTCCGAAGATACAAAAAGTATCCGAAATTGTCCTTAAAATATGAAATGTTAAAATAAAAAAAATCGACCACAGTATGTACATATCGTTATTATTTAACAATCACTGTTGTTTACCAAAGGGCCAAAACGTCATGCAGCCTGCAAGAACACATCACTTTTGAAAGAGTAATCGATGAGAATGAATACGTGTCTTTAATTGAACAAGCTTATGAGAACTTGGGCAGAAGCAGACAGAGGAGTGTTTTGACCTGCAGAGTGTGGTGGTCGAATGCATTTTGGGTCATATTAAAGCAGTGGTTCCTAACCTGGGGTGTACGCACCCCCTGGGAATGCGAGATGCCCTTTCTGGGGGTGGCGAGACACGGCAGGAATTTTTTTTAGAAGGTAAATCACCGAAAGACAAAATCCGCACGGGCACCGAATTACAACTATATTCATATTCTTAGGTTTTTTCGGTAAAGTCACGTATGTAAAAAATAAAAATGAATAAAAGTAAAATTAAAATAAAATTAAAATCACGAGTAAGATACTTACTTGATACAACTATCGTGCTGTGACGGTTCCACCTAAAGACGGAAGCTTGTGTTGCCTCCGAAACGTCGCGATTTTAATTTTATTTTTATTTTATTTTACTTTTATTAATTTAAATTTTTTACCTACGTGACTTTACCGAAAAAAACCTAAGAATATGAATCCTTGCAGTCACGAAAGCTTCAAATCTAGAATTACAACTACTTTGTTTCATCAAAATTATAAATTGATTGGACGACTGAGAACCAACAATGGGTTGCAAGACAGCAGTAATGGTCAAGAACCACTGCATTTAAGAATCAGCCGAGTAGATGGAGTAGATATGAGCACGATGTGTTGGTATGTATCACGGTACTTTATAGCTGCTTGGGTTTAGCACTTGCTTCAACAGTGCAGGCCACAGGGGGATCTTCGTCCCCGGACACGCATGCTTAGCCTTACATTTTAAACGGTGGTGGAATATTCACTAATATAAAGTAAATATTTCGCGTAATTGTTTAATAGCGCAGTGATAATTATTAACCAATTACGAAAAAAATAACATTACCTAAGGTGCAATTATATATAATGGTTAATGAAGCAAGATAGCTTTACTCTTTATCGTAATTAGACCAGGGTAACATAATGGGCAATTATTCTAATTGCTCTACCACGAGGAGCTATGCACAATTAATTTACCCAATGCATGCACTCCTATTGTGATCGTCTCATAATAAATGGTCGGATCACCTGTGGATGTAGACTTTGTTCATACCGTCACGCGCGTAGTATTCCTCGTCAAAAGGCAATGCCAACGTGCCTTCTGCCAATAGCCAATTTGTGCTTAAATGAGTAGAAACAAGAATTGGTTGATTTACACTGAATACAATATGCCAGCGTCCTCACGCGCGCTCTTTTGGATGAGATTTGGTGGAAAGATTCAGCACGAAATTACGTTTTTTGACAATATATTTTGTCAAATAAACACAGGCAATGCATCGTGAAATATAATTTAGCAAAAACATCGGGTAACATAAGTATGAATTAGCAGTCAATCGTCAGATTTTTGTAAATTAACGTGGAATGGTGGCAGAGTGGAGAGTGCACTCCGCTATGAAGCCAGTGACCCCGAGATTGCTTCACAGCCAGGTCTAGAGGTCAGTGGCAAAGAGTGATTTGAACTAGTCCTTGACCCCTCGGTACTGACCGGCACGGTGACCTATTGCCAGACAAACCACTTCAGACGTACATGTTGCGGTGTGGCCTTCTTGCACCAGTGGATTAGCAAAAGGCTGTCAATTCTGATGTATTTATCGTCATTGTTTAATTATTGTATTCATTTTAGGTTTAATCCATGGATGGAGTTTGCCGGGGGGAGGAGGGGGAGGCAATGCCCCCTCCCAGACTGGACACCTTTATTAATTTATTGTCAGTAGTTTACAATTAATCTTTAAAAAAATAATTCTATGCTCCCGCTATTCCTAATGTGCGGGAGAAAGCGAACCCCTGCCCCCACGTTCCAAATAAAGAAGTCAGACTCCGCCTATGGTTTAATCGTATAGCTTCTCGCATGTCTTTGTGTTGAACTTCTTTCGCACCGTACGTAGCCACCCGTGCTAACCGCAGGTGTGGGGAAGGCCAACAAAGTGAACACAAAACAAATTTGAGATGCATTATATATATACGGCACGTGAATGTGTGCGTTGCATGACCTGCCATGGTTCGCAGTCTTCTATATTCGAAAACAAGGCAGTACAAGTTGCACATGTCTGATGATTGGCAGACATTCCTCAAGACGTAGAGAAATCTTAACTCGAATCAGCGCTCTTGGGTCACCAAAGACGAACACACACACACAAGATCTTTATCGTCATCTGAAACAGTGCCCTCCACGTGGAATGTATTTGCCAATCATCAGGTGCGTGCAGTGTGTAATGCTGAACGAAGAAAAACTGTCAAACGCGTAACTCTAGGGGAGGAGTACGGGAAGAGACGATGCTCAACAGGCGTTAACAGGCATGCAGTGCTCTTAGGGACATCGAGCCAGAAATTATTTGTTGGTGCAATACACGACGACAAACATAACGGACACGCCTGCGAATCACGCAAACCCCCTAAAGCATGCATACATACGTACATACGTACATACGTACACCAATGCAATTGTCGGCAGGCGACGGTAAACATGGCCCGCGTTCGAACGCAACGCACGAACTTACCGTCGAACTGTGCCTTGAGTATGAACTCCTTGTAGAGTCTCTTGCCATCGATGGGCTTCATGGCATCGCAGAGCCCCGTGGTGTTGGGGCACAGGGACCTCTGCATGTTGTGCAGAGCGTGCGCCATGGCGTACACCGCGTTCACCACGAACATGATCTTCGACTCCTGCTCAAAGTTCTTGTCGTTCAGGCTCCGCTGCTGGCTGCACTCGTTCTCCAGGTGCGGCAGCTCGGGGAGAGTGCACTGGAACTTGTGTTGCCAGTACTCGCGGAACCACGGGTTGCGCTCGTTGGCGCTGGGCCTGAGCGACTTGAAGTATTCGCTGAACTCCTGCACGGGGAACGACGACAGCTCGATGGTGATGGCGCCCAGGGCGGCCTTTTCGTTGCCCTTTACGACGTTCTCGAGGGCGCCCCACCCGTCGCTTGCCACCCACAGGAAGGACGTGTTGTTGCTGGTCGCGGCGGCCAGCAGGTTCTTGGCGTCGTCGCTGCGCATGAAGAGGACGACGACTCGGGCGTTGGGCTTCTGCATGAGGTTGTGGACGATGCCCTTGTACGAGTCGGGGCTCGTCAAGCGGCCCACCTTCTCCGACGTGGCGATGCAGATGTTGCGCGAGCGGGCCTCGTTCTCGAAGGCCTCGATGCCCGTCTCGCCGTAGTCGCCCTCCGACGCCACGGTGGACACGTACGTCCAGTTGAAGAAGCGCAGGATGTCCGCCATCGCCTTGGCCTGGTAGAAGTCGGGCGGCACGGTGCGAGCGAAGTAGTCGTAGCGCGACTTGTCGCTCAGCTTGGCGCTCGTCGACGCGTAGCTGATCTGCGGGATCTGGAAGAGCCGGAGCAGGTTGGCCACCTAGGGGTAGCGGGTGAGGTGTGACGATGATCAAAAGGTGGGAAGATGTACGTGAGAAAATGTAAACTTTTTTTGTAGTATTGCCAATGTTGAGTCAATTCTTTTTTAAAGCTATCGGTGTCATGCCGAGACGAAGCATCCTTTTAGATCTATAACAGAGCAGTGCAACCCTTCATGTTTCATAACAGCCCATGGAAGCGGATATCAAAGAGCTACCTCTGAGGTCTCTGCGAGTGATCTATGATCCACACCGTAGGGGGCAACACTTTAATGCCAACTTTGCCACCGACAATAATGTGTGTTGCACAATAGTCAGACCGAGATTTTTTTTTTTTACTCCCAGAGCTGGCATTAAGAAACATTAATTTCAGAACAAAATGTAATTTGATGGGACTTATTGTGCAGTTATTGATAAATGGGCTGAGGCCGTTACACCTGCGACACTTGAGAACCCAGTTTAATATTGGGTAGCTGCCTGAATTTGAATCCAGGATGTTGGCGATGCAAGCTCAGAGCTCTGTCCTCTGAGCCCAGCGTTAAATGCATGTTGACGTGTTATTCTTGATGGAGTGGGGAGGCTACTATTTTCTGGCTTTGCCTGGGAAAAAAATATCCGTCCATCTCTCTGTCTGTCCCCAGGACACTCCACACACATTTTCACAAAACTACAAAGCCCCCTTCCAATGCAATCGCTGTCCGCGACCGACCGACCGACCGCACCTGTATGGAGACGCTGCTGTCAGACCCCCCGATGACCCCCGCGATGGGCTGCGCGTTCCCTCCGTGGATGGCGTACGTGCCGTCAGGGCACATGAAGTCCGTGCCGTCCACCTTCTGCAGCGACGAGCGCACGAACTCGAGCGCCTGCTCCAGCGCGTACGTGTCCTTGAGGCACGTGTCCAGGACGCGCGCGCCGAGCCGCACTCCGGGCAGCAGCCGCGGGTCCTCGTTGATCCGGTCGAGCGCGAACAGCATCGCCTCCATGCGCTGGATGCCGCGCGCCTCGTTGATGGGGCCGCAGTCCTTGGAGCCGTCGCCCTTCTCGTGCACGGGGAACAGCCCCCCGACCAGCAGCTCCTGCTCCTTCTCCGCATCCTTGCGGCCCGGGCTAGGCTCGGGCCGCGAGGCCGAGCAGACGACGGCGGCGGCGGCGTGAAGCGCGAGGAGCAGGGGGAACGCGCGGCGGCGCTGGTGGTGGTGGTGGTGCCGGCGGTGGCAGCGGTGCGGCGGTGGCGGCGACGGAAGAGGCATGGCTCGGCCGCGGAGGGGCGTGCGTGCGCGATGGCGGGCGGCGGGTGCGAGGGTTAGACCAGCGCGGAGGAGCGGGCGGCCCAGACGCTTGCGCCCCTCGCGCGTTCACCTGCTGGCACGGTTACGGGCACGGACGGTTAAGCGGTGTTCGTCGGTGATTCTGCATCGGCAGTGGGCGACGCACGGAGACAGAGCGAGTGAGCGGCTCGCAATTCGGGAGGTTGCGAGTTTAAATCCTTGTTGGAGGGTTACTTAGCACTGCATCCCTCCGGGGCTGAAATAATGACGACAACTTTGTGGTGAAGGATGGATGGAGTCGTTCTCGCCATAGGAATATGGAATTTCCTCCATTGCTTCAGACCTGTAAACGGGAGGCGAGCACCACCTCATTGCTCAGCTGAGCAGGAAATCGCTCCGAGTGGTGGATGCGCACGAGTGACAAAAACTCACGGTTGGCTACGTACGGTGCGAAGGAAGTTCAACATCCATGCATACGACACATTCGCAAATGACAGGCGGCATTTTGGCCGACAGCACAGAGAGGGACCAGTTATAGTGGCAATCAGTGGACTAGGTACTGAGCTTGCAGGCAGTGCGTCTGCACCGATGTTAGCCATAACTGTCAGAGACACCCCTCCCCTTACCCAACCCGCAGCGACCAGCGTGGTGAAGTATGGCCAAACAATTCCCATGACCAATACAGCATGGGAGATGCCTTCATCCGATTTGAAGAAGAACCGTACACAACATCCATGCAAATTGTATAAAGGCAACGGCAATTGGCTGCGAGGCGTTGTCCTGGCTGGGTAATACGTACACTTTTCAGTCTGATGAAAGAAAAAAAACCTCCCCTTAAAAAACTGAAACCATCTGCGAGATTAGATGCTTCCAGTCGACGTACTATCTGTATAGACTGATTCCGCGCTTTTAAGTGCACCGCATTCGACGCTCGTTACACGTGGCCTGAAAAGGAAGCGTACGAAACCCGGGCCGAGGTAAAGGCCAATCTTGGAGAGGGCGCAAATGACGAGAGACATTCAAGATCAAAACTAACAAGTTGACACAAAGGTCCCTGTGAAGGTCAGTAGCAATCTACCACTCGCTGTGCTCTCTGCAAGGCAGCAGCAGCAGCGGCGGCGGCGGCGACGGCGACTGTCAAATAGCGGCTGTCACCGAAGGACCCGGCTTGTTACGGCCAAGGGAGGGAGGTGGGAGGGGGTGGGGGGAACAAACGGAATCTTGATTTTTGTTTGTTGTTGTTGTTGTGTTCTCGACCGTACACTTGCGAGGCTCTAAATTACCCATAAAACAGGTTTTTCTTTGGGTTAGATCGCGTAAATATAAACGTGTCGTTAAACCCGCCACCACCCGACACAGCCAATTAGTAATGTTTGTCACGTAAAACAGAACGTTGCCAATTCGTCACTAGTACAGCACTATTGTATAGTGCAGTGTATAGTGTAGTGTATAGTAGTGTATAGTGTAGTGTATAGCGTAGTGTATAGTAGTGCATAGTGTAGTGTATAGTAGTGTAGTGTATAGTGTATAATAGTGTATAGTGTAGTGTATAGTGTAGTGTATAGCGTAGTGTATAGTAGTGTAGTGTATAGTGTAGTGTATAGCGTAGTGTATAGTAGTGTATAGTGTAGTGTATAGTAGTGTATAGTGTAGTGTATAGTAGAGTATAGTGTAGTGTATAGCGTAGTGTATAGTAGTGTATAGTGTAGTGTATAGTAGTGTATAGTGTAGTGTATAGTGTAGTGTATAGTAGTGTAGTGTATAGTGTAGTGTATAGTGTAGTGTATAGTGTAGTGTACTAGTACAGCACTAGTGTATAGTGTATTGTGTGTAGTGTACAGCATTAACCGGTGTGTTGAAGAGCAAATCCACAACATTTACAATCTGAGTACGACGTTTCGCCAGTAATTACAACCAGCTTCATCAGGCGACAGCCAGATTTGTGGAGAAATCCTCCTCTTTCGTTCCTTGAATAGAGTGGTAGATGTGATGACATCACTTGTGCTCTTCTTGCGCGAAGTGGTGGGGGGGATGACATTGTGTTTTGGCCTGAGCAAGTTTTGCATGGAAATCCGTGGGAAGCCACTGCTGTGTGGAGCTGCTCAAGCTTCAGATGTCCCCCCTGGCAGTGTCGTTTTCTCACAGGTTCGGGGTTTTCCTTTGCATCTGCCAACGTCGGGCTATCGGGCAGAGGCTGAGGTGTCCCCAATGAGGGAAAAGGGGCCCCAAATGTCACCGTAGCCAAAACCATTGATGCCGCAACGCCTCGCCGATGTTTTCTACTTGACGGTAAAAAATAAAAATAGTAACCCGATTTATTTCGCACGCAATATTCTTTGACGGACATAAATGACCGCGACTCTTGACGTGCAGAGCCGAGCTCAGTGTCGCTCGCGAGTCAAACAAAACGTGGTGGAGGGGGCCTCGATCAAAATGCGCGGATCAAAATGCGCGGAAGGCGCGCGCGGGAAGGTAGCGATGTAACGAGCAAATGGTCGCACAAGTCTGCATGTGATCGGGGCTGATGTGCAAGTCGTGCCCGTGATGTACGCGAGCGACGTTCCCTTTTGTCCACCTCGGGTCAGGCGAGCGGTGGCTCCAATCGCCGTTTATCCACACGATTAAACGTTGCGGTCAATTGTGACTTCATCGATGCCATTAGCTGTGCACTGAAGCACTTGACAGGGCTATTCGGGGCTCATGCTGTAATATGCAACACGACGCGGTTTCTTTGCATTGTTTTGTTCCACGAGTAGCCGGTGCTCGAGTGGTCGCGCAGTGGTTCGTGCAATGCGTCGTGAATCCTGCAATCTGAGTTCAATACTCGTCCGTGGCTAGCATGAGTGGCGAGGCTAGCATGAGTGGCGAGGCTAGCATGAGTGGCGAGGCTAGCATGAGTGGCGAGGCTAGCATGAGTGGCGAGGCTAGCATGAGTGGCGAGGCTAGCATGAGTGGCGAGGCTAGCATGAGTGGCGAGGCTAGCATGAGTGGCGAGGCTAGCATGAGTGGCGAGGCTAGCATGAGTGGCGAGGCTAGCATGAGTGGCGAGGCTAGCATGAGTGGCGAGGCTAGCATGAGTGGCGAGGCTAGCATGAGTGGCGAGGGATTATCGGAACTGGTCCTGGATGCTGCGCGTCAATCAACCCGATAACTGACAAGGCGTGTGGACACCTTTATCTGGCAGCGGACTGTCAAACAAGGGCAGGATATTATACAATTCGTATCATTATGAGACCTCTTTTACCAGTGGCAAAATATAGTAGTAGGTTTTAACCATTTTAAACTGGTACAAAACTGACACCTTTATACAAGGCATCATGTTTGCAATAACCACAACACAAGTAGTCAAAAATGCAAACAAAAAGAAGCAACTCTGATAATGATAATAATATGTACAATCAACTTCAAGGACAGTGCATATTATTATCATTATCAGAGTTGCTTCTTTTTGTTTGCATTTTTGACTACTTGTGTTGTGGTTATTGCAAACATGATGCCTTGTATAAAGGTGTCAGTTTTGTACCAGTTTAAAAGGGTAAAAACCTACTACTAAATTCGTATCATTATGTATATATATATAGCATAAGTGGCATTTCTATTTTTTTATATATATATCAACCTATATTATGAAAATAAAGCACGCTGTTAGTTCCAATTTAAAATATAATCTCTCTCGCCACAGGGAAAATCAATACACGTTTCATGTGGTGGTGCATCACGCGCCTTGATAAATCTCTCTGCAGCGAGAGGCAGAGAGTCTTTGCCTTGTTAAAGTTAACAGTTTTGTTAAAGTTAACAGTTTGTTAAATTTAGCAGTTTGTTAAAGTTAACAGCGCTCAACGCAAACATCGCGTTCGCTTCCAGCACCTCCATGCCTCTTGTCCTAAAACAATTGCGAATCTGGCTCATGTGTCGCTTTAAGCGCTGTGTGATATTTGCTGCGTGATATTTGCTGCGTGATATTTGCTGCGTGAGATGTATTGCGTGATACTTGTTGCTTGATATATCTTGCTTGATATTTTTTGCTTGATAATTGTTGCGTGATATTTTTTGCGTGATAATTGTTGTTAAGTTTGATATTTAATTGTTTTCTTGGTTCTTTCGGTAAAGTCACGTAGAAGGGAAATAATAAAATAATAAATATAAAACATAATAAAATAATTCTCACGACGTGACTTTGCCGAAAGAACCAAGAAGATTAATCCCTGCAGTCACGAAAGCTTTAAATCGAAATTTAATTGTTTGTTAAATGTTCACCAAAAATATACATTTAACACATGTTTAATTATTGGCAACACATTACACTATTGGAATGCAAACAGTTTTATACGTGCAATGATTAACTGTATATTACAAAATAACCAACGACATGCATTGTCATGAATTAAACGCACATGCAAATTGCATAACCATTGTGCAATCCATTGCAAATGATTTAACAAACGGCATATGTTAGATGTGCGTGTAAAACGTTGGTCAACATTCAACAAACATTAAGGATCCAACGTCGCAACGAATATTTTGCCATATGGCATGGCGGAGCAGCTGCTATTGTTGATTCCAAATGATCTCGATCCGTTTTGTTCAGTGATTTTGGCTCAAGTTCCGTGCAACAGAACCTCTTACCCCAACATCAGCGAGCGGCGTATTTGTTTTTCAAAGAGAAAAAAAACCATCAAAGATAACGCAACAACAACAAAAATAACCCCTCCCCCCTCCACCCCACCGCGTTCCAATCTTTGATTTTCGTTTTCAAACATTTGCGTTTGATTCGCGCACATAATTTTTCACAAACTACCAAACACGGCAAATATGTATGTCATCTCCCCGTACGTGTGGGAGGTTTAATTCAACACGCTGCAATTCCGGTTTCCTCGCACGTGCAACGTTTACAACAACACCTTTTTATAAAAAAATATATTACTTGTATCTGCGAGAGAGTTGGCGCAGTGGTTAACACTAAAACCCGAACCACGAGTGCAATTCGCTAGCCTCCTCCTGCTACTGCTCCTGCACCGACCTGCACTCACCAGCGTGGTGATGCAGAACACAAGGCCACATGTGAGTGACAGAGCTTGGAGTGTGGCTTTAATC